GGGGCCGCCCGGCCGCAGCCACACCACCGGCGACCCGTCGGCCGGGAAGCCGAGCAGGTTCTCCGCCAGCCGGTCGGCCGGCGTGTCGGCCGGCAGCAGCCCCAGCCCGCCGGCCGGGCCGGCCGCCAGCCAGGACTCGGCCACGCAGGCCAGCCCGCCGGCCCCGGGGTCCTGCAGGGCGCTCGGCACCGACAGCTCCGTGGCCGCGTGCTCCCAGGCCGGCATGCACCGCTGGCCCACCCCGGCGACCGCCGTGTGGTCCGGCAGGCAGGCCTCCACGCAGGCCACCACCCCGGTCACCGGGTGGACTTGCAGCAGGCGCGGCTCCATGCACACGAGGCAGGCCCCGTCGGCCTGGCACACCCGGCACCCGGGCTCGGCGCAGGCGGCGCACGTGCCTGCCAGGGCCCGGGCGCGGCGGCAGCAGTGGCGGAGGCGGTGGCCGGGGCAGCAGCAGCAACAGGAGGTAGCAGAGACAACAACAGCGGCGACAACAGCGGCGACAACAGCAGCGACAACAGCGGCGACAACAGCAGCGACAACAGCCACAGCCTCAGCGACAGCCACAGCCACAGCAACAGCCACAGCCGCAGCGACAGCCACAGCCACAGCAACAGCCACAGCCGCAGCGACAGCCACAGCAACAGCAACAGCCGCAGCCACAGCAACAGCCACAGCAGCAATAACAGCAACAGCCACAGCAACAGCAACAGCCACAGTAACAGCAGCAATAACAGCAACAGCAGCACAGCAGAGATCGGGCGTTAGTTACACGGCACAGCGGCCCAACAGACAGGGCCAGGCCCGGCACAGGCCGACCGAAGGAACCACCCACGCACCGGGGCCAGCGGCGTCAACGAAAAAGTGCCCATCCGCACAGCCGGCGCACAGCGACCCGGCCAGGGCCAAGGGCGACAGGGCACGGCCCGGGGCACAACGGAAGCCGGCCGGCTGGCGCTCGGCCCCGGCCTCCACGGCCGCCGGGTCATCGCACTCGATGGTGCCATCGACCCCGGCGCAGTGGAAGTCCCCCGCCGACAGGTACGCATGGCCGTCGGCCAGGACCCAGCGCGGCGCGCCGCCGGGCCCGACGCGCAGCCGCACCATGCGCATGCCCTCCAGGCTGGGCCCCGGCGGCAGGATGAGCGCCTGCCAGCCGGCCGCCTGGCCGTCGGGGCCGAGGGTCAGCCGCCAGGCCCGGCCGGCCGCCGGGTCCTGCCCGGCCGGCGGCAGGTACACCAGCCACGGGGTGACCTCCGGCTCCTCGAAGAGGGTCGGGTGGGGGAAGCGCCCGCCGCCGGGCGCCCCGGCCGGCAGGGCCACCTCGTAGGCGGCCCCGGCGCACTGGACCCCGCACGGGTCCACCCCGAGGCACACCTCGATCTGGCCGTCGGCCAGGAGGACGGCCCGCGAGCGCGGCCAGCCGGCCGCCAGCCGGGCCACCACCCCGTCCACCACCCGGCCCACGGCCAGGTGGCCCCCCGGCTCGAAGGGGCCGCCCCAGGGCGCGTAGCAGGTCATGAGGTTCCGCCCGGACAGGATGGCGAAGGAGTCCTCGCCGGCCGGCAGGACCTTCACCTTGGCCCCGAAGCTGAAGACCCCGGTGCGGTGCTCGGCATACCCGCCATCCTGGAAGACCCCCAGGACCATCTGGCCGACCTTGTCAATGAACAGCACCCGCGCCCGGGCCGGGCCGGGCCGACAATCGTCGCGCCCAGGATGTCGGTGATCTCCACGGCCTCGCGCACGTCCCACGCCCCGGGCCCGGTCAGGAAGGCCAGCCGGTTGGTGCCGAAGCCGACGAGCCGCGGCCCGCCGGGCCCGGGCCATGCGGCCGCCCGGAAGTTGGCCACCCCGCTCGGGGCCGCCGGCAGGATGGCCTCCGGGTCCGGCCCGAAGACCGACCCGACGCGCGCATCGTCGAAGCCCACGAAGTCCGCGGCCGACTGGCCGAAGAGCAGGGCCCGGTGCTCGGCGTCCGCGGTCGACCGCACGGCCGCCTGCCCGGCGAAGAGGGACAGCACGCGCCCGGCCCCGGCCGGGTCGCCGGCCGCATCCACCGGCAGGAGCGTCCGGTGCAGCAGGACCGCCGGGCCGACCGGCGCCGCGCGGGCGCCGCCGCCGCCAAACAGCAGCAGGATCCCCAGCAGGAGGACCCCAAGGGGCGGGAGGACCCAGCCCCGACGTCGAGACATGTGCGCTGGTGCAGCCGCTCGGGGGCGAGAGGAGGCAGGGGGGGGGGGGTGCCAGAAAGGAGAGAGAGAGAGAGAGAGAGAGAGAGAGAGAGAAGGGGGGGCGGGGCGGGTAGGAGGAAAGGGCAAAGCTACCGAGGCGGCGCGGGCGGCACGCTCGGGGGATGGGGCTCCTGGCGCGACCGGCGCCCCTGCGGGGCCGGCATGGCCACTGTTTTCTTCCCTCCCCCGCCCCTCGGCCTCGCTGCCTCACTGCCCCTCATCGGTGGCACCGGGCCCGGCGTGCCGCGCCTCCCCCCGGCCGGCGCGCCGCCAGCACCCCAACACCGGAGGGGCCGCGCGCCGGGGGCCGAACTGCCACACACATGCACATACACACAGACAGGGGCTGGCGGGCGGGGCACGCTCGCCCGCCCCCTTTATTATGACAATACCTCTCCCCGGCCGGGCCGAGGCGCGAATGCGGGCCGCACCGGACCCGGCCGAGCACGCCATTCCCCCGCCCCGCCGCACGAGGCCGCCCACCAGGCGACCCCCTCCTCTGACACATCCCCGGCGGCCGAATCCCGGCGAGGGCACGCGCCTGCCGGCCGCGCGCATATGATGAGCCGGCGCGCGGAGGACGCCCCGGGGCGCATCCGCCCGCCCGCGAGCACACACGCGCCGCCGCGCGCACACACACACACACACACACACACACACACACACACACACACACACACGCGCGCGCCCCGCACGCGGCCATCATGAAACATACCAGCAGCCCCCGGGTCCCGGCGCGCCCCCATCATGGTTGGGCCTGATCGCGGGCATGTCCTCGACGCAATGTGCCAACGGAGCACCCGGTCCCGGGGCCGGGCATTCCGGAATGGCCCCTGCGCCTGGCACGGCCGCGACAAGGCACCAAAACATCCCCGGTCGGACAAGCGGCGGCGGCGGGCGAACAGCCGGCCCCGCACCCCTGGCCGTTTGTTGTGACATCCCGGCCGGCTGGCCGGTGCCCAGGGCCACGGATCGGCCCGCATGGACCGGGCCTCGGCCCGAGCACCACGCGCAAAGCATCGCACCGCCCCGTGCTGCCGGAGCTGGACCACCAGCACCTCGGGCCGCCCGGGGCCTTGCCGCGAAGGTATTAATTAAGGGTTGTGTCCTTAACCAGGACGCGGGATGGGTTACATGTTGGCCTGGCCGGACATTTCGGCGCGGACGCCAGACAGTCGTGCATACCCAGCCAAAAAAAAAAAGGGGTCGTGTCCCGGCTGGCGAGCATCGGCCGGGGCACCCGGGCGCGCCTGCAAAAGAACCACCCCGCCCGGCGTACCGGCTTTCCCACGGCGGCGCCGGCCCCTCCTGCTGAGAGCCCCCGGGGGGGATCGCGGTCTGATGCCGACACACCGAGATCGCGGTCCGCGGCGCCCTGCGCGTCCCTCTGCTCGGACCCGGGCCCGGGCCCGCCCGGCCGGGGAGCACAGCCCGCACACCCCGGCGACACAAGGACCCCATGCCCCCAGAGGCAAGGGGCCCCCCACGCCTAGCCGCCTGCCTGAGGAAAAGGCCCCCCTCGCCCGCTCCCCCCACCCTCCTCTCCCGGCCAGCCTCGCTTCGGCCATGGGGCCCCCTGCCGCCCGGCTGCCGGGGCTGCTGCTGCTGCTGCCGGGGCTGCTGGCGGCCAGCGAGCCGGAGGTCTTCCTGCACGCGGCTCCCGGCCTGACCCCGACCTCCGAGGGGACGCTGACCTTGAGCACGTCGCCCGGCCAGACCCCCACCGCCAGCGTCCACACCCCGGCCGGCCAAGCGGCGCACCGCTTCCTCCAGACCCATGCCATGGCCTCGGTCGTGGATTACCGCCGGGGGGACACACTTCAGCCAGGACCGGCACAGCAATGGAATCTGCCCCCGGCAGCCAAGGTGCTGATGCTCCCGCGCCCGGGCCTCAGCGTGCCGGACATATCCTGCTCCACACCCGCCAGTGGGCGGCCTTCTTCGACATGGCCCGCGAGGAGCCGCTCCCCGGGCCGGCCGCCACCCTGCTGGCCGGCAGCTCCACCCTCGCCGGCCTGGTGCATATCCCCGGGCCGACGTCGGCCTGCCGCCGCTGCCGGACCCGGTACTTCCTGGCAGCCGGCCGGACCCTCTACCACATCATGCATCCGGAGCTCGCGCCGGCCACATCCACGGAGCCGCTCCTCCCGGCGGCGATCACCCATCTGGCGGTCACGCGCCTGGCCGGGCAAATGAACCTCTGCCCCGGGCCGGCGGATGTGCTTCTCCTCCTGGCCCTGACAACGCCCTCAACATGTGGTCCTGCCATACCGGCGGCGGGGCCGGCAACTTTTCCCTGGCCGGCCGTCTGCCGGCCGGGCTGCCGGCCTCCCGGCCGCGCCCGCCCACTCCCCCGGCCACGGCCTTCGGCACCCACGTCGGCACCTACCCCTATCTGATGCTGCAGGACACCGGGGCCTCCGGCCCGGGCACCGCCCTCTGGCGAGCGGCCATCGCCCGAGATGCGCCGGTCGTGTGGGAGCGTGCCATCCTGCCGCCGCCGGCCTGCAGCTGGCCCGGCTCCGCCTCACTCCCTCGCCGGCCGGCGAGTGGGTCCTGACCGCCGGCCGGCTGGTTCTCCTGGCCCCCGACCCGTTCTACTGCCACGGCGACACCACCGTCGCCTGTGACAGCCGGGCGGCCGGCCTCGCCGGGGCCCCGCGCGGCTGGACCTGCAGCCCCGGGCACATCGAGTCGCCCCTCATCGCGCGGGCCAGCCTCCGCGCCGGGCGCGCCGATGGCTTCTACCTGGACCGCGACTCCGGTACGCACCCCCCCCCCGCATGAAGAGCCGTATCCGCCCGCCCGGCCCCACCTGACGCCTTGCCCGCCCGCCCGCCCGCCGTCGCCCTGGATGTCGGGTGCGCTGGCCGATGCGGTCGCTGCCCCGACCGCGGCCTGGCCCTGCCCCTGCCCAGGTGCTCCCCCCTGCACCGACCCGGACCACAGATGCAAGCCGTGCGGCCAGGCACATTGCCGCATCTGCAACCGGAGCAACTGCCTCCTGTGCCAGGAGCCGTTCCTGCTGCAGCCCAGCGGCCCGCGTGGCAGCACCCTCTGCGTGGCCAGCTGCTCGGCCGGCTTCGCCCAGCTGGCCGGCGCCTGCGTGCCGGTGTCCGTGCGCGCGGCGGTCGCCTCTCTCGCGCCCCCCCTGGCGGAGCTCCTGCCCGGCCTGGGCCCCGGGGTGTCGGCCACCGGCATCGGGGCCACCCGGCTGGCACTGGACCCGGCCACCCACCGGCCGGTCATCTCGATGGACTCGGCCGCCGACTGCCCCCCCCCCCCCCGGCCGGCCTGCTGCTGTTCACCTCCACCGGCGAGGTCCTGTCCATGCCGGATGCCGACATCGGGAACCCGAGCAAGGCGGCCCCCCGGCCGACGCAGCTCCTGCCCCCGGGCGAGGGCATGGAGCTGGCGCCGATCGCGAGCTACGCCGAGGCCGGGCCCCTCCGGCTGGCCGACCACCTGGCCATCGGGGCGGCCCTGGTGGCCGGGGACCATGGGATGCGCCAGGCCTGGCTGACCTGCCCATCGTCCACCGGCCAGCCATGCACCGTCGCCCAGTCGCCCCCGTGGAATCCCCTGCACTCGAATGACACCCTCCCGGTGGAGCCCCTGACAAACCGGTGGATCTACCTGCAGTCCTGGAACGGCAAGTCGGCCATCCTGCAGGCCGCCCTGCCCGGGGCCGAGGAAAGCCGGTCCCACCTGCCGGGCGAGCCCGGCGCCTGGCTGGTGGTCGGTAACTGCCCCGCCCGGGTGTCGGCCTACCCATGGGAGGTGTCCTCCCGGGCCGACAGCCGGCAGATGGAGCTGCTGGGGCGCCTCCTGCCGGATGGGCCCCCGACCGGCGAGTGCCTCGCGCCGGTGCTCCTGCCGCGCGGCGGCCACCTGCCCCCGGGGCTGGTCTTCCTCCCGGACATGGAGCACAAGTGGCAGGCCCTCCACACGCCGGGGAGACATGCTGCCGGCCGGCCGGCCGGTCGCGCGGGCTCCCGCCCAGGCGCCAGACCCTCGGCCACTTCCTGGCCGCCGCTGCCCGGCCACCGGGCGGCAGGCCCAATCGCCGGGCCCAGGCCGTCACGCTCCATGGGAACCCGGTGTACCCGAGCGCGCCGGTCCTGCTGACCCGGGCCTTTGTCGGGGTGTCGCTCCTCCGGTGCTCGGGCGGCGAGGCCAAGCCGGAAGTCCCGTGCAGCCTGCTGGATGCCTCCTTCTTCGACCTGCACCATGCCGGCCTCCAAAGCGGCAATGGCCTCTGGGCGCCGGCCATCGCCCGGGCCCCGGGCCCCAGCGCGCCGGGCACCCCCTCGCAGTCGGGGATCCCGCCGCTGGCGCTGCTCGTGTTTGCCCCGAGCGTCGGCCCGCAGACCCTCGTCCTGGCGGCGGACCGCCCAACGGGCACCTTCGGGCCCGAGTGCGCCCCCTGCAACCCCCTGTGCGGCCAGTGCTCCGGGCCCTCGGCCGACGAGTGCACCGCCTGCGCCTTTTGGATGGCGGACGCGCCGACGGCCTGGTTGGCCGCCTGCCCGGCCGGGCTCTGCCCCTCGGCCCAGGGCCAGTGCCTGTGCCACCCATCGTGCGACCGGTGCGCCCAGCCGGTCCCCAGCGAGCCCCACGTGTGCTCCCAGTGCCGGAGCGCCTCTGTCCCGGCGGTGTCCGGCTCGCCGGCCGACCACCGCCTGGCCTGTGACCCGGCATGCGCCGAGTGCCACGTCCCCGGGGGGACCCTGGCGCCTGCAGTGCCTGCCCGGCGCCCGGCCGGCTCCTTGACCGGACCTGCGTCGAGGCCTGTCCCTCCGCCCACTGGCCGGACACGCTGGCCGGGGCAGGCGTGCCCTGTCCGGCCGGCTGCGCCCCGTGCACCTCGAGCACCACATGCGTCGGCTGCCGCGCTGGGTATCGGCCCGAGGCCGGCGGCCTGTGCCGGCCCTGCCCCGGGTCCTGCGCCACCTGCACCCCGGAGGCCGCCTGCGACACGTGCATGGCCGGGCTGGCCTTCCTGGACCCGGACCCGGGCGTGCCGTCCCTCTGCGGCAGCACCTGCACCCTGGGCGAGTATGTCGGGGCTGGCCGGTGCGCCGCGTGCGATGGGTCGTGTGAGCTGTGCGCCGGCCGGCCGGACCGGTGCCAGGTGTGTGCGCCGAGAGCTTCCGCTGGGGCGCGGTCCCTGGCCCCGGGGCCGCTGGGACATGTGTCGCCTGTGAGCCTGGGTGCGCCTCCTGCACGAGCACCGCATGTCTGTCCGCCGAGACGGGGCTCCTGCTGAGCTCCGGTGGGCAGTGTGCCAGTGCTTGCCCGGCCGGGTGGCACAGCAACGGCGAGTCGTGCCAGCCGTGCGACATTAGTTGCGCCGCCTGCGTCGGTGGCATGGTCAACCAGTGCGCGGGCTGTGCCGCCGGGCTGGGGCTTGTCGAGGTCACCCCCGGTATCGGCGCCTGCGTGTCCGGCTGCCCGGAGGGCCAGTACCGCGCGGGGGCCGGGTGCCTGCCCTGCGACGCGGCCTGCGCCACGTGCAACGGCCCCACGGACAAGGACTGCTGGCGGTGTGCCTCCGGCGTCCTGCAGGGCGGCGACTGCGTGCAGGCCTGCGCCGCCAGGCA